TATCGTCAACGAGAGGCGCCATCGTAAGCACAGAGTTACAACTTATCATAGTGACAAGGTTAGAAGCCCTTTAAACCGTTGGTGAAAATGATCATGCTTCAATAAATTCACTTGAAGCAAAATAATCTTAAACAACATTGGAGAAAACGAGTACACAGAACGGTGGTAATAGGTAAATAGGCCATATGGAGTGGGATTAAGAGAAATAGATGCAGCGCTAGAAGGTAGGACAAAAAATAGCGGCGGGGAGTGATGCCACAACGGTTAAACAGGAAATTGGTTAAGGGGATTGATTTCCCTTACAACTTTGAGAAGTGCTAAGAATGATGCTTCTAACTGACGATGCCGACTAAAATGTCTGCGAAACGTCTGGGAATGTACAAAGTCGACGATCCGATGCTGGAAATCATTATAAATATTATGGCAGAAGACGTAGGACAAAGTGCGCTCCATAGAGTCTCCCTATCGCTCCGGCAATGTTGTGAAAACGAGTACAAGCCGACACTATAAGGCTAAGGGAAACTGCGACCAAACAAAAGACTACATCATCTTGTATTAGAGTAGGGTTTCGAATCTACCATCTTGGTCATCATATCTGCAATAATATTTTTTTATTAGCTGTATCAAATTATACAGATAAATGTGAAAAACAGATACAAAATTGTTTAGATGTATCTTTTCATTATCAATAAGCAAATTATTATAATAAGAGCTGTATTCATCTTTTCGCATAGTGTGATAATGGACTGATAGTTCAATTTTCCCGCAAAGTAGGCCTCACGATTCTATCGTATTTTACTTAGCCTTGCTTCCTAAAATTTAATATCATGCAGAGTGGAAGGTTTCAAAATAACTGGTAGATCTTGTTAAGAAGCTAGATTGCAGTGAATAATGAACAAAGAAAGTGATGTGCCTAAGGATTCAATCTAGTCTTTCTAGCTAACAAGTAATCTGGGAACCCCTAGACATCTATGTAACTGCCTCTTGTCTTTCTAAGGTCAGTATATATGGCTTAGCTGGACTGGGCCTCAAGCACGCAACAATGATTGGATCACTTCATTCCTAAATTTTAATCGATGAAAACCAATCCGAAAAAAATGGAAGGATATGAAGAAAAACTGGGCTTCGAAGAATGAGATAGACAGTTTTAATCTTTTAATGAGTACATCAAAAATGACGTCCCACAATCCAAAGAAAAATAAGTTCGATTAGCTGCTATTCAATTAAATAGCTACTCACCTTTCAAAGGTCGAATTGGCCGAAGGCAAGGGATTAAGGGGCAATCCCGAATGTCAGAATATCGGTGGTTATTAGTTTTTGATGATATATGATCTGAAAATAAGACTTCTTCTTCATCGTCCTTATCCCCACTCTCCTCCACACACAGCTTTCCTTCCAGAACGCATGCACACTCATTTTTATCAGCGTTAGCGTTCGCCAATTGCCGAATAGAGTGTCGCCAGTCATGTCGAGATTGATCTTCATTTGCCTTGATTATTGTTTCATCACCTGACCACTCACTAACGACCTCTAAGATTGGCCGATTAACCAATCGCTCCTTTTCATTCATTAATCCAACCCATTCTCTGTGGTTAGCCTCAAAATCCTGCAGGCTTCTCTTTGAATTCACCAAGCGAAAATGACGCTCGTCACAAGAAGTATTTACACCTCTTTCCTCTTCTACAACCAAGTCATCTTCGACCCCCTCGGAGGCTGGGTCAATTTTTCGACCTGAAGATATTCCAGGTTGCCTAGGTGCCACTGATGCCTGGCGCGTAATACTCGAATCAGACCTGAATCTGGCTAAATCAACTCGTTCACCAGAATTTTGGCCGAGGCGAATCAATCGTTTAGTCATAGGTGTTTGGTCTGTACAAGTTGAGGTTCTAAATGAGACAGTCTTTAGAGCATCCCCATCAATTTCGTTCTCGGCATGATCGTCTTCGCTAGCATCCGAATTCCCTGAATGCGAGTGGTATGCAGATTGGCGGATTCGAAAATGCTGATTATATTGATAATTCTTGGGCTGTTTCTGGTCGTGATTTGCGTGTTGCGGGACTCCGGGTGAGGGCGAAGAGACTGGGGATGTTTGCAAAGAACGAAGGTGAGTTGATTGCTGCTGATCATGCCTGAAGTCTACTTGACGGTGCTCCGATAGTGAGGAATCTTTCGTATCACTTCCGAATGCCACTCGCTCCTGATTTGTGTCTGTTAAGCGTAAAGAGGCGCTGACCCGAAGTCTGCCAGACTCTTCGGACATGATGGATCCTGAGGCTGAAGATTGAGGCTGGCAGAGTGCTGATCGAGACCGTTTAGCTACTGGTGAGCCAGACATTTCAGAGAC